ATAAGGATGTCATCAAGGTAGACCATTACGCCTTTTAAAGATGGTCATGCAAAACTTCATTAATTAACTGCATGAAGATGGCTGGCGCCCCCTGTAGTCCAAATGGCATAACACAAAATTGAAAACAGCCAAGAGGGCAGTTGAACGCCGTTTTCCACTCATCCCCTTCCTTAATTCTGACTCGGTAATAGGCCTCTTGTAGATCTAACTTTGTGAAAATTCTCCCTTTACCCAGTTGGGCCAGCATGTCCTTCATTAATGGCAAAGGGTAGAGATTTTGGACACATACCCCGTTCAGGTTTTTAAAATTCACACACTAACGAAAGGAGCCATCTTTCTTTTCTCTGAATTAAGACTGGAGCTGCAACTCGGGGCCTAGCAGGTTCAATGAATCCTCTTTCCAAAGTTTTGTCAATGAATTTTCTCAATTCGTCCATTTCTCTAGGAGTCATTGAATAAATCTGAGGTTTAGGGAGCTTCACCCCAGGGAGAATATCAATGCTGCAGTCGGTGGGCCTGTGTGAGGGTAATTTATCTGAAGATTTTTCACTGAAAACATCTTTCAGGTCCCAGTACTCTCTCGGGATCTTTTCCTCCCCCTCAATCTTTTCTTGCTCTCTGGCTGCTAGATTGGGGTCTGTTTTATTTGGTTCTGGAACCCCTTCATCCTTATCAGGGGGCGTAGCAGACCGGATGCGCAACCAACCCTTCCTCCAATTTATGTGTGGGTTCCATTTACGCAGCCATGGCAATCCCAATATAAGCGGCCGGTCCATTGCTGGGGCTACAATAAAACTTATTGTCTCTTGGTGGGTCCCCATCCACATCTCAATAAGCTCATAACAAAATGAGCAGGGCTCCCTCCCGCAATAGAACCATCCAATTGGCAAAAAGCAATTGGAATTTTTAAAGTTTTCAGCTTCAATCCCAATTTTTCTACTATTTCCGGGCTCATAATGCATCGTGTGCATCCGGAATCTAAAAGAGCTAGAATTTTCTCTTGTGCGCCAGAAGATGGCACCCTAAGCTCAACTGGAATAGTCATGGGTCCCGTTCGGGAACTTACCCAGTGTTCATCATCAGATTCAGTTTCTTCTGAAGAGCTAGGGGTCTCCTCCCCCCTCTTACCAGGGCTGAAACACTGAGATGGTTCCTCCCCTTTCAGGGCAGGTTCTTTCTTCTTGCTGGGAGGTTTTTCCAGCCTTTTCTCTCTCTGAGGGGGAACCTTTTGGGCCATTTTGATGCGGCAATTAACAGCATGATGCCCCTCCTTCCCACAGCAGAAACACATGAAGGGTTTTGGTTTGCTTGCAGATCCACTTCTTCCTCCTTTTGGGGCTCCTGGGCGGGTTTGGCAGGCGGGGATTTTTCGCCCTCACTCTCCCCCTGGTAATTCAGCCTGGCCAGGTCAATTTCCACATCAGCAGCCACTTCATACCAGGGCTGCAGCCTACAGGGAGGCCCCCGGTTCACACAATGCCGGTAAATCTCTTTGTTTAACCCATCAGTGAAATGGTCTAATAATGCCTCTTCAGACCAACCCCTCATAATATAGCAGTAGAGCCAAGGTGGCGCAGTGGGAGCCAAGGTGGCGCAGTGGTTAAATGCAGCACTGCAGGCTACTGCTAGATCAGCAG